TTAAAAAAAAAAAAAAAAAAAAAAAAAAAAAAATATATAATAAAAAAAATGTATTCCTCTTAAATTAATATCATATATATACTTGAAGTTACCTTTTTTTTTTTTATACTACAAAAAGTATTACATGAAATTTTTTTAATTTTTTCTTGCAGTATAATTACTCCATTATCCTTTTTTTTTTAGTTTCTCATTTTAAATAAATGTTGTGAAGTGAATTGTACAATTTTTTTATAATTTTTCTTTAAAATTTTTTTATTATTATTTTTTTATTTTCTCTTTTTTTGTGAAAATGATTCCTTTTTTTTCTTTATTTTTGTAATCACGTATAATTTTTTATTTTCTGTTGAGTTTCTATTGATAATTTTTTATATCATTTATTTATTTTAATATTTGTTAATTAATACATGTTACATTTTCTATTTTCATTGTTTTTTATTATTCACTATATTGATAATTTCTATATTTTTTATTATGATGATTTTTCATTGTGATAAATAAAGGAGATAAAGACATGGGTACATGCACCTCATCAATTAAAAAACAAACTGGTAATACAATTTTTTAAATTTTAAAACATCATTATATATTTTTATATATATACATTAGCAAAATATATATGTAATTATTGAAATATTATATATGTAAAAATACTTATTTTAAAAAAATTTCTTTTTTCCTATAGTATATTTTTGAATACTTCATTATAATAACTTTTTTTTGTTATACTTAAAAGCAAATATAAAAATAATAAAATGAATGTAACATTTTTATTTTAGATTGATAACAATGTATATAAAAAGAGATATTCCATATATATTCTTTTAAATATAAATATAAATATATAAAAAACATATAATATGTGTTATTCATATTTTATAAATAACTACAATTTAATTGTTAAATTAATTTTTTATTAATCTTAAAAAAAAAAAAAAAGTGGATAAACAAATTAATGTTTTTGATCATATACAAACATTAGATAAAAAATAATAGATGTAATATAAATAAATAAATAAATAAGAATGTATAATAAGACAATTTTTTTTCTTTTTTTTTAATTATATATATATATATATATAGATAAACGAAAATATATAAAAAGAAACTATTGTTTATAGATTGAATTTTTAAAGTTTTTTATTTTATTATTTTTTTTTTTTTTTTTTTTCTTATAATTTTTACATAATTTTTTTTCTTACTTATATTTATATCATATATAAATTTATATAAATACATGAAAATTAATAAACCACAAACTTTTATTTTTGTTTTCTAAAAATATTCTCTTTTTTTTTTTTTTTTTTTTTTTTTATTTAGATGTTTTTACTTTAATTATATGTTTGTTCTATATATATATATATATATATTTTTTTTTTTTTTTTTTTTTTTTTTTTTTGATCAGCATTAAAAGGGGATAAAAATACAAGAAGAAGATTATCAATAAGCACAAAGAGTGAGTTACCGAATGACACAGAAGAAATAAAAAGAAGTATTCAAGAGTTAAAAGAAAATGAGGACAGATTTAAAGAATCATCAGAAAATGTAATTATAGAAAGAGAATCTACAATTAAAGAGAAAGAAAAGAAAGTAGATAAACAAAAAAGGAATATAAAAAAAAGATCATCTGTAGCAGGTGTAAGAGCATCTCATTTTCAAGAAGATTTTGAAAAAAAATGTGTTAAAATTAAAGGATCAGTTGATAGATTAAATCAAAATGGAATAGGATACGTTTGTAGAAAGGGTTTAAAACCAGAAAGCCCTAACCAAGATGATTTTATTATAATTACGATGGAAAATTTAGCCTTATATGCTATTTTTGATGGGCATGGACCTTATGGGCATGATGTTTCTAATTATGTGCAAAAAGAATTACCTTATATGATTATTAAGAATGAAAATTTTTTAAAAAATCCTAAAGAAGTTTTTACTGAAGCATTTTTAAATATACATGAAAGCATAGAAAAAACTACTAATGCATACCTCGAATCATTTGCAAATCAAAATAATAATAACCCGTTAGGTTCAGATATATATTTAAATAAACATAATGATTCATCCGATGAGGAAGATGAAAATGATGAAACTGATAGTGATAGTTATGACAATGAAGATAGTGATAACTGTTTTGAAAAAAAAAAAAGTGATGAAACATGTAAAAATGATAATGAAAAAGAAAATTTAATACAGAAAAAAGAAGAAAAAACATTGAAAAAAAAAAAAAAAAAAAAAAAAAAAATTTTTTTCGATAGCACAATGAGTGGAACAACAGCAACAATAATAGTTCATTTATTTAAAGAAAAAAAATTATATATAGCATATGTAGGAGATTCAAGAGCAGTATTAGGAAAAAAGAAGGATGGATCAAATCATCTTGTTGCTGTTGAATTAACTAAAGATCATAAACCTAATTCTAGTGGAGAAAAAAAAAGAATTTTAAATTCAGGTGGCCAAGTTATAAAACTAGAAGGAGATATACCTTATCGTGTTTTTATAAAAAATAAATTTTATCCTGGATTAGCAATGTCAAGGTATAAATAATTTAAGAAAAATGTCTAATATAATTTTTTTTTTTTTTTTTTTTTTTTTTTTTCATTTTATATATATAACGTTTGATTGTATTTATTTATTAATAAAATTTAATTTTTTGATTTTCTCTAATTAAATTTTTTTAAATTGCAAATAATATATGAGTATAATATATTTCTCAAATAATATGTTTTATCATATTTATTATCATTATTTTATGTATATATAGAGCAATAGGTGATACAATAGGTCATCAGATAGGTATAATTTCAGAACCAGATTTTATTGAAGTTAATATAAATGAAGAAGAAGATATTTTGGTTTTAATATGCAGTGATGGTGTTTGGGAATTCATCTCTTCAGAAGAAGCAATTAATTTAATTTATGAATTTGGATATGAAAATGTAATAATAATTAAAATATACTTATAAATATATAAATAAATAAATAAAAATATACATTTTTATATTATCTATAAATTTTTAAGAAACTCACAGAATATAATTTTAATATTTTCATTTTTGATTAATAGCTTTTTTCTTAATTATTTATGTAGAGTTTTTTTTTTTTTTTTTTTTTTTTTTTTTATATACATATCACTATTCCATATATATATATATATATTTATATAATTATTTTTTTTTTTTTTTTCTATTTATTCTTAAAGGTTCAAGATGCAGTTGAAAACTTAGCAAAAGAATCCTGGAATCGTTGGCTAAATGAGGAAGAAAATATTGTTGATGATATAACAATTCAAGCTATATATTTATCAGAAAAATCTAAAAATCAGCAAAAAAAAAATATAACATGAAAAAAATTCCATTTGTTTTTTTTTATAAATATATCACATGTTTATTTTTATATTAAAATTAGACAATTTATATATATGATTTAAATATATATAGCCACTTTTAATATTTTTAAATATATTATTTGAAAAATGTTTGATATATTTCCGTCAAAATAAATGTAAAAAGAAAAAAAAGAAAATAGTAAATAATAAATAAAATTTTATTATTTTTTTAAATTAAAAATAAAAAAAAAAAAAAAAAAATTATATAATTTAATAATAAAAATGTCTTTCAATTTTTCTTTCATTTTTTTAAATTTCATTTTAATTTTTTATTATTTATATTTCCGTTAATCCAAAATTTATAATTTTTTCCTAATATTATTATTTTTCAAAGAAAAAAATGTAATTATTAATTTTTTTTTTTTTTTTTTATATATTTTTAGTTTAACACATTCTTTTTTTAATGACTTAATTTTTTTTTTTTTTTTTTTTTTTTTTTTTTTATATATATATAAATAGCTCTAATATTTTTATTAGATTAAAAATATAAATAAATAAAAATATAATATAGAATAATAAATAAAAGGTATATTTATAAAAATTTTTAAATATATATTATATTTATTACAAAAAAATAGGTTATGTTCTTTAAGAAAAAAATAAATAAAACATACATATAATTAAAAATAAAAGGGGATATATTTTGAAAGAATATAATGAAAATGCAAATTTACAAAATATATATTTATTGAAACAACAAAAAAAAAAAAAAAAATATATATATATAAAATATTTATTTGTAATTAATTGAAAAAATGAAAAAATACATTTACACAAAAAAAAAAAAAAAAAAACAATTGATTTAAAGTATACATTAAGAAAATTTTAATATAAATATAAAATGATATATAATCCATATATATCTAATAAATGTAAAATTATATACAAATTTTTAATTAAATAAAATAATTATATAAAAAGATAGTTTAGAGATACATTCTTTATTTTTCATTTTTTATTTTCCTTATATGTATCAGATATGGAGAACTTATAATTTTTATATATTGAATTAAAAATATCTGCAGCTTTTACTTTTGCTTTTAATTTCATACAAATAAGATAAGAACCTGATAATTTTCTATGTAAAGTGTAAATTTCAGATCTAGGTGGTATTAATCTATTATATATAATTTTTGGTAATAAATTATAAATTTGTTTTGCTAAATCACCTTTACCGAAATCATATACTTTTGTTTTAAAGGGTTCTCCAACTAATATAACTGATTTAATATGAGAATCCCTCATTTCTTCATTTTCCTTTCCGTTAAAAAAGTTAAGCATATATGAATAATGATAAATCTTTGATTCATGTTCTTCTGTTGATGCTTTAACTAATCTTAAATACTGATCAACAAACTCATTTTTATATGATCTTGTTGCACCAAAATCTATTAAACATAATTTATCGTTTTCTGTATCATATAAAAAATTTCCTAAATTGGGGTCTGTATTCATAATTTTAAAAACGAATAACTCATGTAAGCATAAATAAAGAATTCTCTGTCCAATTGAATCACGAATATTTTGAGGAAATTTTTCAGCAACCTCATCAATTGATATCCCTTTTACATAAGATGTTACTAAAATTTTCTTCGTTATATATTCACTATAAATAGATGGTACATAAAAATATTTACTTTTTTGAAAAATATTTCTAAAAAGAGCATAATATTTTGCTTCATTTATATAATCACATTCACACTTTAATTCTTTTTTAATTTCATTACACAAATTATCAATATATAAGTTTTTTAATATTAAGTTGGTATATTGATTAACAAATAACAAATTTCTTATATCATTTTCTATAGATTCATAAACCCCAGGATATTGAATCTTAACTGCAACTTTGTTGTTATTTATTAATGCCTCATGTACTTGTCCTATTGATGCACTTGCAAAAGGTTCATAATTAAAAAAATCAAATTTTTTTTCAAAATCATCACCTAATTCACTTGTTAAAACTTGTATTAATTGACTCTTTGGCATTATGTCTGCCGAATTATGAACTATTTTTAATGCTTTTGCTAATATAGGAGATATATATTCATCTTGCATACTAATCATTTGTCCTAATTTTAAAACCACTCCTCTCATTTTACTTAAACCATTCGCTAATATTTCAGCATTTTTTTCATTTATTAATACGTCTTTACTATTATTCTTGTTTATTAACATATTTTTTATATATTCAAAACTACTATTTTTTGCTATGTTAAAAAAAACTTTACCAAAAACAGATGCTCTACTAAATGAAGAAACTGGTACTTTACTGATTCTAAATTTCTTCTGTTCTAACTTTTCATTATTTGTTATTTTTTTATTTAAAATATTTATATCATAACTGAAATCATCTTCTTCTATAACTTTTTCGTATATTTGATTTTCTTTTTTTTTTTGTTCATCATTTCTATCTAAATTTTCATTATTATATGATTTATTGTTATTCTTTTTTAAATTTATATCATTCATACTATCATTATCTCTAAAAACATTTATTTTTTTTTTTAAGTTATCATTATTTTCATTTTCAACACTATTTAACTTTTTCCCACTGTCAAAATTTTTATAATCATCATTTTTTAATTTTTTTTTGTATATATTTTCAACATTATTAGGTGATATCATATTGCTTATATACTTTTTTTGATTTATCAATTTAAAATTACTAAACATTTTATGTTCATGTTTACTTTTTATATTCTCACTTTTTCTTGTAATTTGATTGCCATTTTTGATATTATTTTCATTTTCACTTTTTATTTTATATATGTTATTTTTAATATCATAATCGTTTTTTTTTGGTATAAAATTCTTAATGTATTTGTTAGTTTTATTATAATTTCCATAATTAAATTCTTCATTTTTCTTTTCATTTTCATGTTTATTCATAATAACATTTTTATCTTCAACTTCTCCTTTTTCAATTTCACCTGTACTCTTTAAGTTACTAATCATATCTTCTCTTAAAAAAAAATTAACTTTATTTAAATCTAAGTTATTAAATAAATATTCATTATCATTTTCCTCTTCATTTTTACTACACAAATTATACAATTCCTCATAATTCTGATAGTGCCAAAAAAATTTAAATGGCAATACATGAAGAAATTTTAAATTGTTATAAATATAAAAAAAAATAAAAGATTCATTTTTCTTTAAACTTTTTAAAAATTTGTTCAGGTATTCATAATTATTAAAATAATATTCTATATTATTCATAAAATTAAAGAAATAATTATTTATTTTATTTTCAACAAACATATCATTTTCATTGACATTTATTACAATATTATAACGATTAATAATTTTATAAAAATCAAGTAAAGTTACATTTTTTTTTTTTTTTTTGTATTGAATTATATCATTTATTAACTTTTCATTTTTTGTATCAAAAATGTAAGACCAACTATATATTTCAAATGGATTAAAATATTCAAAATTTTCACTCTTGTAAATTTTTATCTTTTCATTATTCCTCTGAGAATTATCATCATTATTATTTTTCTTAAATTTTATTATTTCTCTATTACTCATATAATACCTTTTATAAAAAGGGTTTATTTTTTTCTTTATTTTAAAGTAGGCTATCATATTCACTGTTTTTTTTTTTTTTTTAATGAAGAAAATGTAACATTGTTTAAAAAAAATTATATATGCTATATATTTTTAAATAAAATAAGAAAAAAACTGTTTTTTTATTTTTAAAAAAATATAGAAATAAAAAGATTCAAATGATAAGTAAATAGGTAAAAAAAGAAATTAAAATTAGATAATAATTGAAAAAAATTGATATTTTTATATTATTTAATTTAGTCATGTTTTTTTTTTTTTTTTTTTTTTTTTTTAATTTATTTTTTTTTTTTTTTTTTTTATTTTTTTTTTTTTTTTTTTTTTTTTTTTTTTTTTTTAAGTTCATTTTTTTTTTTTTTTTATTAATATCATTTTATATTTCTTTTTATTTTACATCATATATTTTTTTTTGTCATTATACTTAATTTCATTTTATATTAATTTTTTTCTTTTTAAATATACAAGTTATGATTAAATGTGTATTTAACTATACAATTTATTTAATAAATGAATTTTAAAAAATTAAAATATAATTTATTATATAACTCAAAGCTTGCCATATTTTATAAACTAATAAAAAATAGCATTATTAGATCATTTTTAATAATAATAAAACATTAAAAGATATTAATAAATCAATTGATATTAAAAGTATTTTATTATTTGTACCCATGTTTTAATTTATCCTTTTAATAAAAAAATATGAAAAAATGTGACTTAATAATTTATTCATTTTTCTTTTTATTAATAATAAAATGTTATAATCAATTTATAATTTTAAATAACATAAAAATGATAAATCCTATTGTCAAAAATATCTACAAGAGTAAAAGATACGGTTATATTAATATTACAAAAATCAAAATAAAAAAAAATACTTTTCCTCTATATATAATTTAACAGAACAAACTATATGTAAATTACAAATGAATATATGCTATTTTCATTTTTTATTTTATATAAAATTTCTTATACCTTTTTATATGAATCAATAATAATTTTATTTAATTTTATTAATGATTATTATATTAAAATACTTTGTATTTTACTTGATTATTTTTTTTTCTTTTTTCTAGTAAATATATATGCAAAAAAAAAGAATAGAAAGGTTGTTGTTTTAGAATGTACAGAAGCAAGAAAGTTAGGAAAACGGCCATCAAGGTATGTTACCGAAAAAAACAAAATAAATACACCAAAAAAATTGCAGTTATATAAATACAATAAATATCTTAAGAGAAGAACATTACACGTAGAAATTAAATAATGATATGTTAGAACATTTTTCTTAATTGTATCATTTTCTCTATCTTTATATTTCAAGAGGTAATCATTTTTTTTAATTTTGTATATTTTTTTTTTATTATTTTTTTTTTTTTTATATTAATAATAATCTATCTAAAAAAAAACTAAAAAAAGAAAAACTGTTATAAAATATTTATTTTTTTATTGTTTAATTATCCTCTTTTTTTTTATATATAAGCACATATGCTATTTTTTTTTATAAAACTAATCAAAACACTTTTTAAAAAAAATATAAATATTATAAATATTTCCTTTAAAAATATAAAATTTTTTGTATTAATTAAAAATATATTAAAAAATAAAATTATTTACACAACATATGATGAAAAACACTGTTGAAAAAAATGCACGTTTGCTTTTTATATATTTCACATATATTAACCAAACGTTTTGATATTTGTAAAATCAAAATTTAAGTAATTTTTATTTTTATTATATTTTAATAATAATAAAATAGTAAGTTCTAAATTTTTATAAATTTCTTTATATATTTAAATCTTAGTTTAAATAAGTATTTGTAAATTATTTACAAAAGTTCATTTGCTTGTACTTGAATTTTTTTTCTTTTTTTTTTTATATTTAAAATAAAACAAATAAAATTAATATATTTTCCATATTTTTAGAATTACACGATTTATATATAGAAAAATATACTTTATTTATATACCTATATTTTATATATATTATTTTATTTACAATTAATAAATATTAGTGTCCTTAAAATAAACATATATCAAGAAACTTTCAATATTTTAGTATGATTTTATCTTAATATAAATAATTGAAAAAAAAAGATATAAAAACAATATATGTTTTCAATTAGCGAATTATTAATAAATCTATATAATTTTATTTTTTATTTTAATGTTATTCTTCTAAAAAATATTTAAAATTAAATAACTTTTTTTTTTTTTTTTTTTTTTTTTTTTTTATTGTGTGTGTAAAAATTACTTTATATATAGAATTTAATTAAATTCTGTAATAAGAAATTTATTTTATTAATAAAATTTAATATCCTTTTTTATATTTTTTTTTTTTTTAATTTATAGTTCCTTAAAAAATCTAAACATGGCCGAAAAATTTGAGAAATGTGTTAAATTTATCAACAGTTTACCTAAAGATGAAAATATATCTGTTGAAATAAAATTAGAGTTATATAAATATTTTAAACAAAGCACAATAGGTAATTGCAATATATCTGCACCCAGCTTCTTTAAATTTGAAGAGAAGAAAAAATATGAAGCATGGAAATCTGTAGAAAATTTAAGTATGGAAGATGCAAAAATGAAATATGTAGAAATTGTTACATCGTTATATCCTAATTGGGATAAAGAATAATAAAGACAAATATTAAAATATTTTTAAAATACATAAATAAAATTAGATAAATTTATATATATATATATATATATAAATATATATTAACATACATATATATTAATATATATAAATATATATATATATATTAATATATATATATATATTTATATATATTAATGTACATATATATATTTATATATATATGTATGTATATGTATTTATTAAATTTTTTTTTTTTTTTTTATAATATATCAAACTATATATTTTTTTATTTGTGAAATGCTGAGAATATTTTTATTATCATCCTGTGCATATATTCTTTTTTATTCTTAATTAAAGTGAAATTAAAAGAAAACATTAAACATAATATAATAATAAAATTGAGCATATAACATTAATAAAAAAAAAAAAAAGAAATCTGTATGAATAATATATCATATATATTTTCTAATTTTGAAAATAACAATTACAACTTTGAAAATAATAAAAAAATTTGTTTAAAAAACATTTTTGTAAAAATATAATTTTCTTTCAATGAAAAAAATTTTTTAATACAAATTCTAATATAAACCCTTAGTTATTTCAAAATATTAAAACATTGATGCATAATGTAATTTGCATGTTCTATTATACATTTGCAACTTTACATGTTTAATTTTATATATCAATTATTATTATAAATGTATATTATAATTATGTTAATTCAATTTCAAACCTTGTTGCTACCCGTAGTTTAACGTTAAGCACATTGTTAAAAAATACAATAATTGAAAAATCTATTAATTTTAATGAGCATGTAACAAAGTGGTTTGTTTACATAACAAATAAAAATACAAAAAAAAAAAAAAAAAAAAAAAAATATGTACATATAAATGTTTATGTATAAATAATATTAATATTTATTGAAAAATTATGAACATACAATTTTTTTATTATTACAAATGAAAATAATATTTTAACAACTTGAGTTAAAATTTTAAAAAATAAAAATGACTTCTATATTTTATAGAATAATCAAAAGCATATACATACTTCATGAGCTATATATAAAAATAAAAAACAACCTGAAATTGTATTTGAATATTCAACAACTTGAACTGTAAAAAAAAAAAAAAAAAATGTAGATAATTGTTTGAGTAAAAAAAAACAATTACCAACAAATAATTTTGTTAATTTTAATCATTACTTTGCAACAATAGTAAGATATACATAATAATTCATGTTTTAATTTAAAAAAATATATTTTTTTTTCTATTAAGTTTTAGAGAAATTACTAAAGTAATATATAATAAAAATAAAATTACAAAAAAAGTCTTGTTCTTTTTAAGAATTTTTCACATATTTTCCCTGTTTTTTTTTTTTTATATATTTTGCATTTTTTATATATTTTTTTTCATTTATTTTTAATAATTACACTTTTTTATTCTTAAAACTATATAGTTAAAATGAAAAATAAAATAATTTATTAATCGATTGTATAAGATTATTAGTAGAAATAGTGAGCATTTAATAGAAATTATCATTTATTTTCATTTTACCTAAAAGAGTATTTTTGTGCATGAACTAATTTAATAAAATATTTCCTTTTTATATTTATATATTCATATTATTCTAATGTAACCATAAGAGCATTTTGTAAAACGTTTTTTTAAAATTGGCGATAAATACATCCATATGCATATAAAAAACACATGTAAACTTTAGAATATATAAAATGTTAATTAATTTTATTTTTTTTCTTTACTGCACCTTTTTATGAGTGAAATACTTCACATTTTTTTATTTTTTAAATTTTAATCGATTTTATAGCTTAAGTATTTTACAAAAATCTTCTAGATCGATGTTTTTTTTTTTTTTAATTTACAATTTTTTTTTTTTAATATTATTTTTTTTTCATTCTTTTATTTCTTTTATATTATTTTTTTTTTTTTTTTAATAAATTAGCTTGTAACTTTTTTATTCCATGAAATTAATTTTCCATTATATAAATTAGCATTTATACTATTATATATTACTTATGCTTTTATTCTGTTTATATACTGTTTCTATAATTACTTAAATTTTCATATTTTTTTATAATTATAGAAAAAAAATAAGAGCAGAAAAGAGAACCAATTAGCTTATTTGGGATATGCACTAATAAAAATACGTACTAAGTTGCAGAAATTACTCAAGCTTTTTAATTATTTTTACTTATTTTTTTTTTTTTTTCTAAGTTTATGTACCTTATACTTTTTTTTTTTCTTATTTATTGTAGAATTTTTATAAATAATAAAAAAGCAAATATGAGTAGTGCTTATTAATAAGATTACAAGTACAAATGTATTACTTTAAGCTTTTTCTTGTTTTGGCTTAAGTTTTTTTTTTTTTTTTTTTTTTTTTTTTTTTTTTAATGCATAAGTATATTATATATATATTTATATATTGTATAAATGTATTATTAATTTTTATTTTATTACATTCTATCTATTATTTTCTTTAAGAATTATTTAGTTTCGCTTTATATATAAATTATATATAATTAGAAATATTGCAAAAAAAGAAAGTACTAATATATATTTTATGTTTCTCATGTTCTTATAAAAACTGAAATGGATACGTTGAGTAAAAGTATAAAAAAAAGAAAACGAAACCAAAAATATATAACATCGTTATGTAACGATGAAGATGTATATTTAATTGATAAAAAAAAAAAAAATAACATAAATATAAAAAATGATGAGAAAAATTCACTAAAAGAGAAAAAAATGTATACTGTAAACAAAGTATATTATACTCGAAATAGATGTACATCTTTAAAAAATAAAAATGTAGATAACGAAAAAAATAAATTAATTAATTCTTTTAAAAAAATAAATTATGATTTGGAAAAAGGAAACATAAAAATAGATGAAATTCTTAATGAAGAAAAGGGAAGAACAATTTATAATGAAGTAAGCAATAACAGCAAAAGTGACTTATTTTTAATTAGTAATAAAAATGATTATTCCAATTCAGAAGCAAAAATTAAGATAAAAAAATCAGAAAAAAACACAGAAATTAATTCAGAAATTAAGAACCAAATAAAATCAGAAAGGAATCATGAAATTAATTTAGAAATTGAGGATCAAATAAAATTGAAAAATAATAATGGAATAGATTTAGAATATAATAAGTACAAAAACATGGAAGAAATACCAGTAATAAATGCAACAATGGAAGAATTATCAAATCCTATTTTATTTTTTGAAAAATATAATTCCATTGGATTAAAATATGGAGCTATGAAGGTAAAACCTCCCAAGTTTTTTAAACCTCAATTTAATTCATATTATTTAAATATGAAATTTAATATAAGAAGACAAAAAATTAATGAACTAAAAAGAGGAAGAGAATTTGATCATCCAGAAGAATATTGGTCTTTATATGAGGTGTATAAATACAATGAAATTCTTGAAAATTTATATTTTCCTAATGAAAAAAAAAGCATAGAAAATATTGAAAAAAAATATTGGCAAATAATTAATAATGAAAAAGAACAAGTAGTATCTATTTATGGTGCCGATTTGCCAGTATCCAAAAATCATCCTACGTGCATTTTTCAGAACAATCTTAAACAGAACTTTTGCAATGATAAACCCATTGAAAACAATACAAATACAAAAATTCCTAATAATGAATATAAAGAAGAAATTAATAATGATATTAAATACAACACTTCATATAATAAATGTGATATAAATAATAAAAGTTCCTTATCTTTTTATAATATAATTAACAACAAATTATCTAACAGAGAACAAAATAAGATAGTAGAAGTAATAAACCTTTCTGATGATGATAATACAATAAAAATAGAAAACAAAGTTGACAAAAATGAGAATATAAAAAATGTGAAAAACACTTTGAGAAATAAAAAAGATCTTGAAAATTCAATAAATAAAAAAGAAAATTCTTTATTAAAGCAAAGAGAAAAATATTTTACTGAAATAAATAAAATAATTAAAGGGATTAATGAAAATTTGAATATAAAGTCATTACCTTTTATAAAAGGATCCATGCTTAGAAATATAGATATTTTAATTGAGGGAGTAAATATACCATGGTTATATATTGGAACACTTTTTTCTTCATTTTGTTGGCACACAGAAGATAATTATTTTGCTTCTATAAATTATCAACACTGGGGGAAACCTAAAATTTGGTATGTAATACCCCCTCTTTATAGTGATAAAGTAGAAGATATTATATATGAATACTTAAAAAAAAATAGTAGAAGAAAAAAAAAAGGAAAAAATAGAAATAAAGAAAATAATAAATACTATCTCCATAGTGATAACGAAAATATAAATGAGGAAAAAAAAAAATTAAATGAAAATAATTTTAAAAATTATAAGAACGGAATAACAAATATTAATGTTCATGAAAGTTATGAAAATAATGCCATGTTGCAAAATGATTATAATTTTCTTGATGTTGACTTAAATGATGTTGAATTATTATATAGAAAATCTTATTTAAATTATAAGATGGTTGATAAAAAGAAAATTAATTTTAAAAAAGAAAATTCAAAACATAAAATATATAAGTTAACCATACAAGTACCAATAGATATTTTTTTAAAAAATAATATTCCTGTATATAAAAATATTCAAAGAAAAAATGAGTTCATATTTTTATGGCCAAAAACTTTTCATGGTGGTTTCAACTCTGGTTATAATTGTAATGAAGCATGTAATATTGCACCTACATTTTGGTTATTTTACGGATTACAGTCATATTATAATTATAAATATTTTAGGAATACATGCATTTCTATACATTTTATTTTATTCTCTAATTTATTACATTATCACGAATATACCTTTAGTCAATTAAAACATATAATATATTCATTGCGGTATATACTAACAGATGAATATAAATTTTTTAATGAAAATAAATCATTATTTATCGATTTTACATTAAATCGTGATGCCCTTTTAAACACCAAAATAATGAATTACTCAAATCATTTATCATTAGACTTAAAAAAAATGTATACTCATTTTGAATGCCATAAAAATAAACATTTTTTTTTTCAAAATCTAAAGAGTAAATTAGAATTTTTTTACAAAGATTGTGATGCTTGTAATTCACCTACTTTTAATAGTAAAATAAAAAAAAAAAAAAAAATAGCAATAATAGAATATTACATGATATTCATTATAATAAAATTATTATAAAATTATTAATAATTTATTTATGATTATTTTTATTTTTTCCTTTAGGTGCAATTATATGTCCTCATTCAAATGATATTTTATGTATTCATTGTTCTGATGAGCATAGTTGTAACTGCAAATTTAGGTATAAAGTTAAATGTTAAACTTTTTATTTAAATATGAAAAAAAATTTATTATTTATTTTTCTTTCTTCCATTTTTAGAGTTACTTTAAAAAGATATACACTTCTAGAAATGATGAAAATTTTAACATTTCTTATACATTACGCTAATAAAATAGTAATAAATAAATAATATTTAATGAAAAAAAAAAAAGTATTTGCATTTATTAATATATATATATATATATGTATATTTATATTTGTAGAAAGCTAGCAATGAAAAAGAAATACAATTCAATGATATACCAGATTACAACTCTTTGAAAATTTTTGAAGACAAAAATTCCATTAAGTTATATAGTTTAATTCGTGAAACAAAAAATGCAGATATAGAAAAAAGGACTAAATCAACTTATTATATTGATTTAGAAAATTACTGTTTAGAAAAAATAAAAAATATAGAAGAAAAAAACAAAAAGAAAAAATATGAAAATGATAATTTTATTATAGAAGATTATTATACAAGTTCAAATCATTTTAAAACAAAATTAACTTTGAAATATTTCTTTTTAACATATGAAGAAGAAATGGAAGACAATCCTATTAAAATTTTACCAAAAATTATTGCATAACTTATTTTATATATATAATTTATTTTAAAATGTAATGAATTCATACAGAACAACCAAAAAGTGTTTTTTTTTTTTTTTTTTTTTTTTTTTTTCTTTGTCTCACCTTCCGAATTTCTTATAATTTTTTAATAGAATATGTTTTTTTTCCTCATTTTTTTTTTTTTTTTATGTATATGTAACATATTTTAATTTTTTTGTTTAAATGGAATCAATGAAATTATGTAAATGTTTAATACTCTTTTGACTTGTATCTTTTTTTTTTTTTTTTTAAATTCTTTTCTTTTTTTATATTATATTATTTTTTATATCTTTTTTTTTTTTTTTATATTATTTTGTAGTGCTTTATTTTTTTATGTTAATTTTTTATTCTTTTTATTTTTATAGGTTTTTTATAAAATATTTATATATATAAAATTAATTTTAAAATTTTTTTTTTTATTGTATTCAAGAAATATGTAATAGAAATATAATTTTAATTAAATCATATATAAATTTATAATTGAGATTCTGAATAATAATTAAACACTTAAGAATAATTTGTAATAAAATTGTATAACAGATGTGCATGAATGCATGTTTATTTTTAAATTTTCATTAGTGTGGTGCATTAAATTTTATATAAAAAAAATATATATTATAAGTTGAAAACACCATTAAAAAAATTAAATAAATTAAAGTTAAAATCAAAAATATATATATTTAGAGACTTGAAAAAAAAAAAAAAAAGAAATAGACACCAAAAAATTGATTTATTGAGCATATTTAAAAAAAAAAAAAAAAAATGTAAAAACGACATATATGCACATTTATAAATAACTTATATATAAGTGGAATAGCACGTATAAGAAAATAAATTGATAAATGTGTAGATAAAAAAATATTATTTAATTAAATTAATATGATAGTAATTATGTTAATATAATGAATAAAAATATAAAAAAGAAAAAGTATATATAAACTAATAAAATGAGTAAAAAATACACAATTATGTAAAAATAAATGTATACAATAAAAAATGAATGAAAAAAGCACAGAATATTATAAAGTAAATTCTAAAACAAAAAGTTATGAAATAGAATTTTTTACTCCCAAATCTAATTTATCTGTAGAAAGCTTAAATAGAAATATTGCATTTAATAATTTATTTAACTATGTTAATAGAAACATTACAAATGATAACTTCGATAAAAAAACTCATTTAAAGGATATTATACATAATGAAAAAAAAAGATATATTTTTGAAAATGAAGAATATAAAGAAAAAGCACAAAGTAAGTTTAGTCATATAAAGGAAAATAAAAAAATAGAAGAAAAACTTTTTAAAAAAAATGATATAGAAAAAATTGATAAAAAAGCCCATAATATAAGAGGGAATAAGAACTTAAAAAAAAGAACATTTTCTGAAAGCATAAACATTTTAAGGTATCTTAAAAATTTTGAAATGAATCAGAAAGAAAACAAAATGTACAATAATAATTTATATGATAATTTTGATAAAAATACATGTTCAGAAATAACAACATATCATAAGAGGGTTAGAAGCGAAAATTATGAGAAAAAAATATCTAATGAAGAAAAATTAGAATATATTTATAAAAGTAATGATAACGAAAAATATTATGACTATTTAGAAATTATATATTTATATTGTAAAAAATATTTTTTATCAGATAAAATGGAATTCTTTAGCAATTATTTATTCTACAAAAAAAGTATTTTAAAAAATTTTATTTTTTTAGTTGATTCTTTATTTTTAAAAAAAAAATACGTTGAATTATTAAACTTATTGAAGAAATATAAGCATCTATGGATATATTCATATGATAATAAGCATTCTATAAAGAAAGTTAATTTTTATAAAAATGAAAAAAAAAAAAAAAAAAAAAATATAAATAATAGTATTTGTTTATACAAATATAACAATAGTAATGACATTGATAATATTATTAACACTAATGATGATTCATATAGAGGTTCAGAAGAAAAAAATATATTAAAAAAGGAAAATAATTATAAAAATAAAGAAAAATATTATAAATGTGAAAATAAAGGAACAAAAGTGGAGAATGCTAATAGAGAAATGTTATATAATAAAAAAAAAAAAGTGTACTTTATAAAATTAAGAAAATTGCTAAAAAAAGATTATACAAAATATAAAAGAAAAGAATGTAATAAAGTTTACTGTATCAGCTATCTAGCTTTTGTAAAAATATTATCTTTAATGAAAATGAAAAACCATAATTGTCTGAATAAATGCTTAAATTTTATAAATAAAATAAATAAAAAAATTATTTTAAATAAAAATGCTAATTATTTAATGCAAATAATTATTAAATTATATGAATTAAAGGGATTATATAATTATTCCTTAAAATATTCTATATTATTATTTTTGAAATATCCTATATACCCTCAAATTCTTCTTAAGTTATTTAGTTTTTCTATATTATGTTTAAAAGATGAAATTCATTTAATATTATTAGCTAGTTATCCTAAAAAATTAGCATGGTTAAAATATTTTCTTTATTTTATTTTATATTCTGTTAATTATCAATTTAAAAATAAACAAACTTTTGACAATTTTTTGTTTTTAATTGAGAATGTCATAAAAAAAAAAAAATATAATAAAAATTGTGTTCATAATGAATATGAGAATGAGTGTAGAGGAAAATTAGAAAAAAATATTTCAATAAAAAATAGTAAAAATACAAAAAAAATTAAAAAAAAAGGTAAAGCTTTAAAGAAAAAAATAGAAGAACTTAATGAAGAAAAAAATAAATTACAAGAAAATGAAAAGGACTATCTAGGAATATCAAAAATTTTAAACTGTTCATATGAATATTTTTTTGATAAAAAAAAAGGAAATACTAATATTTATATATATAAAAAAATACTTTTATATAATTCCATATATAATAAAGTATCTTTATATGATACTTATGTATACATTACTAAAAATAAATTTTCAAGTTATTTTCCCAAATTTTTTTTATATTCTAAATTACATATAATAATAAATATCAAAAGAAGTTTTTATGAAAAGAATTATACGATGTGTTATAGTTTAAGTAAATTATTATTAAATGATCATATATATGATTGTTCTGTTATAACTTTTTTTGTAAATTCTGCATATTTATTAAATAAGATTAGCTGTATAAAACAGTTAGCAGATGAATTAAAAAAAAGTAAAAAATATATTTTTTTTTTATTTAGTAATGCAGCATTATTATTGCATTTTAAGCAAGTAGAAAGAGCTATTCAAATATATAAATATATTATTGATTCATATAAAAATATTTTTTCTGATTTATATTTTTTTTCTTTATTTAATCTAATATATGCATTAGAACTAACTCAAAAAGCTCACCAAATCATTACTCTATGTAAGAACTTGAATAATTTATTTTTTCATAATATTCATTCATATATATTACTTTCATATTACTATTATGTAAACGACATACCTTATAAATCATATTCTTCTCTTATAAAAGCCTACAATATTTATAATTATCACCCTGATATCTTTTATATTCTTTCTTTACTATCATTAAGAGCTAAAAAGTATTAAAAATATATCTATATATTTAATTAAAATACAATATAAAAAAAAAAAATAAAATAAAATAAACTGCTATCTAAAATAAAGATTAGAAAAATAAATATAAAATTAAATATATAATAATAATATATTATAAAAATATATAAACAAAATGCTTTAAACTAAAATATTTTTTTTTTTTTTTTTTTTTTTTTTTTTTGTATTTTTCATAAATTTCTTTTTTAGGTTTAAAGAATATGTTGCTTTTAGTGAATTGGCTCTTTTTTTCAGTTTAAAAAAAAAAATAATTCGAAATTATATTTTTACTAAAATTTATGAAAATCAGCACAAATACATACCATATTATTTGTTGTATTACAATTTAAAAATAATGAGTAACAATGAGATGATAAAAAATGTTACTTTTAATTTAGATAGATATCTATGCTGTTTTTATTTTGATAATTTAATAAAATCATATATAATTTTTTATTTTTGTTCTTATAAAAGGTACAACTTAAATATTTTAATATATATATACTACATTTAAAAGGTGTATTTTATCTTTTTGAATATAGAAAATATAAAACAAAATAATAATGAATATAAATATGAAATTATCTATAATTAATAAATATATATAATTATAACAAATTATAAATTTCATATAAATATTATAAATTTTTTTTTAAGGAAATATCTTAATTATCTTGTTTTGAGCGAAAATTTATGCAACATTGCTCTAAGTTATTTTTACATTGACTTGAAATTTCTACATTGTATAATATTTAAAAAAAAAAAAAAATTATATTAATTATTATAATTATAATAACATAATTAAATTTTTTTTATTATTTATTTCTCAAATTCAGTGTCACAATACATTCAAAAAATTAAAATAAATGAGAAACAGAAGCAATTATCCCTTAAAAATGTTCTTTCAAATATAGAAAGTATTTTTTTTTTTTTTTTTTTATTGTAAAATTTTTTAATTAAATTTAAATATTTCTATTATTTTTTCTTTTTTTTTTTTTTTTTTTTACATTTATAGTTACTACAAAAGATTAAAAGATGATATAGTAGAAACATATCACTTTATTAATATAATAAAAAAAAATAAAACATATACATATGTATTCTATATATAATATTTTGCACCGACATATTTTTTTTATAATATAAAAAAGAAAAAGTAATAAAATTATGATGTTTTTTATATATACATATTATTTATATTGTTATGATTTTTTTTTTTTATTTTTAAATTGTCCATACAATTTTAATATTTTTTTTTTTTACTTTATTTATGTATATAACTAGTAAAAAGACACGTTTTTTCTATATTTAAAATATGTATTTTCTATGATAAAAATTATAATAATAAGAAAGATAATAGCAATACTAGTATATACAAGTGTTAGCTGAATATACATTAAAAAAAAAAAAAATAAATAAATAAATAACTATAAAATATATAATTAAATAAATAAAAACAAAATTTCTTTCAAATTTAAGAATAATAAAAAAAAAAAAAAAAAAAGAAAGAAAAATTTCTAAAAAGGTGTATGAAGTAATAATTTTTCTCTTGTAAGAAAAATTTCTGATTATATAGAACTTATAAATGATAATATAGATTCAATTTTGTTTACTATTTATAAAAAAAAATAAAATAAAATATTTAACTATTGACATATCTTTAAAAAAAAATTTAAATATTTCTTGTTATAAGATATTTCTAATAAAAATAGATATATATATATGAAATAGTTTATACCTTTTTAGTATATATGTATAGAATTTTTTTTCCTTATTTATATTTTTGAAAAATGAATATTATTGAATCAAATAAAGATAAGGAAAGAATAAGCCTCCACAGTCATATTAACGGGTTAGGTTTAGATGCAGATGGCTTTGTTAATGATTACAATTTTGAAGAAAAAAAAAAAAAAAAAAAAATAGAAAAAATAAAAGATCATGGAGATAAAATATTACAAGAAAATAAATTTAAAGAATCATATAATAATAATAAATATGACGAAAAATATAATGATTATAGTGATTATTATACAGAGTGTAGTGATGAAAATAATGAAAGCGACAATGAAGTTGTTCGAAATTTTTATAAATCCAAAGGAATGGTTGGACAAAAAAAAGCAAGAGAAGCAGCTGGTATTTTTATTAATTTAATTAAAGAAAAAAATATTTGCAAATGCTTATTATTAGCTGGACCAAGTGGGAGTGGTAAAACGGCAATAGCCATCGCAATAAGCAAAGAAATCAGTGAAGAATCCATTCCTTTTTGTATTTTTAACGCATCTCAAGTATATTCTTGTGAAGTTAAGAAAACAGAAATATTAACTCAATATATTAGAAAAAGTATTGGTGTAAAGATAAAAGAAATTAAAGAAGTGTTCGAAGGAGAAGTTATAAAAATTGAACCATTTTATGATAATACATATGAGGAAAAAAAAATTTCTTATGTGCATATAACTTTAAAGACATTAAAAGAACAAAAGAAGATAAAGATACATTCTTCTATATATGAAAACATATTAAAAGAAAAAATTCAAGAAAAGGACATTATTTATATAGAATCACAAAGTGGAGTTGTTAAAAGAGTTGGAAAATGTAGTTTATATCAAGATATGTTTGATATAGAAACAGATACTTTTGTTGAACTACCTAAAGGAAATGTTCACAAAAAAAAAAACATCATTCAAAATATTACTCTATATGATTTAGATGTAAGCAATGTTCAACCAAAAGATAATATTCTCAATTTTTTACAAAATACTAAATCAAAAAAAACGGAAATTACAGATAAATTAAGAAATGAAATTAACAAAATCGTATATAAATATGTAGATCAAGGAATAGCTCAAATTATACCAGGAGTACTTTTTATTGATGAGGTTTGTAAATCTTAAAATAATGAAAGTCAAAAAAAAAAAAAATATGCTACTTAATTTAGTTTAATATAGTTGTAAAATAATATTCTTATAAATAAAATTAAGAAAAATAAATTACTTTATTTCCATTATATATATACACACATTTTTCTTTTATACAGGTACACATGTTAGATATAGAATGTTTTACATATTTAAATAGAACATTAGAGTCTAATTTAGCACCCATTGTTATTTTAGCAACAAATAGAGGAATTTGCAACATAAAAGGTACTCATTTTACTTTTTAAATATTAAAGCTTATATATATATATATACTTTTTTTTTTTTTTTTTTTTTTTTTTTTTTTTTTTTTTAAATATAAAGGAACGAATATAATATCTGCACACGGAATACCTGTTGATTTATTAGATAGAATTATAATTGTTAAAACTATGTTATATAATAAAGATGAAATATTACAAGTATGCGTGAATAATATATGAACATAATATTATGTAGATAATCTTTCGTTACTTTTAGAAAATATATTTTTTTTATATATATTGTATTTAATTAAAATTTTAGGTCCTTAAATTAAGATGCAAATTTGAAAAAATAAAAATCGAAAGTGAAGCCCTAGATTATTTAGCCGATATAGGTAATTTTAAAAAAATAAAAGATAAAATAAATCATTAAATTGAAAAATTTCCTTCATTTTTCTTTTTTTTTTTACTTCAGGTATTAAATGTTCTTTAAGATATGCAATTCAACTTTTAACACCTGCAAAAATATTATCAAAAAGGAAGGGAAAAAAAAGAATAAATAAAGATATCGTTGAAATTGTTTCCTCTATTTTTTTTGATACAAAAAGATCAACACAACTTCTATTAAGTGATAAAAATAAATATATGTATTAATATATAACTAAATTAAACTATATAAATATAATATCTTTAAAAATAAAAACACAAAAAAAATTACAAAAAAATGTTTAAAGTAAATAACTAAAGTTTGATAACTAATTTAAAATATATACATATATGATTCCATATAAAAAAGAATAACTATGTATTACTTTATTTGATTTTGTTTATTTTTTTTTTAACTTTTCTTTAATCTAAAAAATAATAAAAAATTATTTATCATTTTATTTGAATAAAAAATAAATTTTAATAAACTTATAAGTTTTACTTTTTTAATTATCAAATATATTAAGAAATAATCTAATATTTTCAAAAGTAATTTTTACTTCATTTTCGGTATTTTAAATTTTTATACAAACAAAATATGGGATATTATTAAAAATTTCATAATATATTTATATTATTTTAATGCTCAATTTCTTAAAAATTGTTAATTAATGTATATTTTTGTTTGATATATTTAAATTATTTGAACTTAGGGAATATAGGAAATTTTGTATTCTTAAAAAATTTGCTAGTTATATATAGACTAAGGTAATATAAGCATATATATATATATATATATATATATATATATTTAAAAGTTCACATTTTAAAATTTATGCTTTTCTTTTTAAAATAAGTATAACTTTTTAAATTAATTACATTCTAAAATATGCTAATCTCGTTTTTAAATTTATGTTTCTTTAATTGTTATTTTTGCAATTTCGTAATTTTTTTTTTTCTTTTTTTGATGTATTATTTTACAGTTTTATCATTTGTATTTTACAAATATGTTTTCTTACTTATGAAGGATATATTAAGAAATGTAAAATAATAAATTATAATAAACGTAAATACAAATTAATTTAAAAAATTTACTTGAATTTTTTTTTTATATTTAAAAATTTTTTTTATTTATTTACTAAATATATAGCTTTATTTGTTTCATGAAATTTATATTATATAATTTTTGAAAAACACTTTTAAAAAAAAAAAAAAAAAAAAAAAAATAAAATAAAATAAAATAAAATTGAAAAAATTTATTAATTTAAAAGAATTTTATTTTATATTTTTTTTTATTATAGTTATATCTATATTAATAAACTTTTATTAATTTTATTTATTCATTTAAAATATTAAGTTATTCCCTGTTTTTTTCTCGTTAGAAATAAGACAAAAAAAAAAAAAAAAAAAAA